AGGGAGGGGGAGAGAGGGAAGGGGAGAGAGGGAGGGGGAGCGGGTGGTTGGGAGCTTTAGGGAAATAAAATGTGTCTGCATTGTAGTGTTACAGGTGAGAGAAATTCATTGCAAGCAGCTCAGTGAAGAATTGCTTCGTAAGTGAGACATTGTATAAAATATGTTCAAAGAAATTTCATGTGTTGTAACCAAGAGTACGTTATACTCTTGATTGTAACTGATGTATACTACTGTAAATGAGGATAAATATAAAAAATATATATACTATAAGCAATAAAATGTTTCTTACCTAACAAACTGTACAGATCATAACTGGGAACCTGTCTCACGTCAGAGTAAGTTAAAGACTCGTAGTAAATCCTCAACTCCAAAAGGTTATCTCTGAAATTCAAGTACAAAATTCAAAACAAAAGAAGTCATTTTATACCTACCTAGGTTAATAATACTTTATTATTTATATTGCGCATAAATCTATATGCATATAATCTAATGCGCATTACAAATGTTTTTAAAAAATACTTAATATATATCTATATATAATGTGCATGTAAGATTATAATAAGTATTAATTATATAAAGAAAATTAAATATAACCCTATATAAAACTATTTTACAAATAAGTACATCAAATAAAATTAAATCTAATAAAAAGATAATCTAAAAAGTAAGTAGTCTTTTAGGAGCTCTTGAATTTTGTCAGGTTTCTCTGTTACGAAGCTCCAGAGGGAGGCTGTTCCAGAGTCTTGGTGCTGCAGCAGAAAATGCGGGATCATCTAATGTTTTTAAGGTTTTGTTCGGTTGTAACAACAGAAGTCCTTTATTTGATCTAAGGTTATAACCACTATTTTCTTTGATAGTAATTAAATCTCTCAAATATCTAGGGGCAAGTCCATGGAGTGCCTTAAAAGTCATTAGAACTACTTTAAATTCGATTCTGAATTTTACTGGAAGCCAGTGTAGAGATCTTAGAACTGGTGCCACAAGGTCAAACCTTGGTATATTGAAAATCATTCTTGCTGCTGAATTCTGAACACGCTGTAACTTTTTAATATACTTTAGGGGCAGTCCACATAGAATGCTGTTACAGTAATCAATACGCCCAATTATTAGTGCGTGAACTAATGATAGTGTTGCCTCATTACTTAAGTATTTCCTAATACGCCTTACATTAATTAGATGGTAATATGCAGCCTTACATGCGTGATTTATATGAGCCTGCATGCTCAGGTTAATGGCAGAAAACAAAAACGCTTAAGAAAAATAGCTATCAGTGGTACATAATTTATCAAATTTCATTCATTTATCAAAGATCTAAAAATGTTTATTCCAAAACATATCTTGTATTGTCTTACAAATGAAATGAGAAAATTATTTATAGTCAATATGGGAAACTAAAAGAAGCATATCTTAATCATCATTGGAGCCCAGAGGATAGGGGAACCATGACGCTTTCGAGCTTGCTCATTATTATATTTCTATTGTTATCATTATTATCAATGTCAGTATGATTAATTGTTATCATTTAATTAATGTTTGAATGTCAATTACTCAATCTATTCTTGAATCATCTTTCTCTTGTGGAAAAGGGTACTCATAAGTACGTGGGATGAAGCAGGTTTTCTGTTTTCTTTGTGATTACAAATCTGCAAAACTCCCTTCTTTATTCAACCTTCTGCTATATCAGTAGCCACATGCAGTAGCAGACTACCTATTTTTTAAGACACGCAGTGGTTGCGGAGGTGTATGCTACCTCCATCTCGTCATCAGATACTCTCAAGTACTTCCAGGTCCAAAACGACTGACACTCACAGTTTTCAGTGTTATCTGTCTCTAAAATGGTGTTTCGTGTTCTTTCTGCTGGGATTTTCAAACTTCTGCAAACAGGAAGGTATGTAGAAATGCACTCATGGTGAGATATCTGACGTCACACTACCTGAGATATTGTCTGTTTTCTTCGGGTGTTCCTGTCAAATTTTTACGTTTGGACAGAAGCAGATCGGCGTAGGCATTGGCCGGATACCGGGCGTACGACAACTGAGCTGAAAACTCCACGCTCTCACATGCCACGGGACAGTTGTCCAACTTCTTGTCTTGGAAATGCACTGGAAGTTTTCAAACAGAAAGAAATTGAACAAAGTAACCTATTTCTTAAGAATCTGAAAGGTAATATTTCCATTTATATCATGTTTCACGATAAATTGCATATAAAAATGTTATAAAGCCTGACTGATTCCTTGGTGCGATATTGGTTGAGGTTTTGGAACTGACATGCGGATTGTTTGATAATCGGTGAGTAGGCCCTCATTACTAATGCTGCAGGACGCGCGCTTCTCAGCCCGTGGAAGACCTGGGACTAGTCGAGAAGGGGTCTGCTTGGCTCTGACACTCATTACAGAGATTTAGCACCGCGTTTGCGTGAGGCGGCAAACGTCAGCTAGCCCTTTAACGTTTCACGTAAAATTGCGTGAACCCTACTGCTTTACTGAGCTTCGCGTGAGCTCACGTTACTTTGGAAAGGAATGGAAGCTGTCTCATAAGCGTGAGCTCTTGCGCCTGTCTACCAAAACAGTGCGGTATTTGAAGAATTTTACCATGCAACTTTATCTACATTTGTATCACTTACAGGAAATTTTTAGTGCACTTTTTTCCGGCAATTCAACTTTTACTCTGTGTGAGAAAAAGGGAAGAGAATCTTACGTATACGGCTAATGCGTGACGGCTTACTTTCACGTAGAAATGGCAAAGCGACACCGGGAAACGGAAAAAAATGACGGGAAAATCGTAGTCGCGTGGTCACTCCTATCGCTCACGTTTCACTTAAAAGCGGTGCTAAATCTCTCTATTATCATTGGTGGACCTCTTAAAGACTTCTCTCCGGTTGCGTTGCACAAGGCCTCCGCGGGCGACGAAACGCTCTCGCCAAAGAGCTAGTTAATAATGATGGCTCGCAGGTTAAAGTTTTTTGAGCGCTCCAAGTATTTTGATCAAATTGACCAAAAGAAGCATTCTATCACACACACACACACACACACACACACACACACACACACAGGCCTTAGGCCTTTGCTGTTACATGAAAACTTGGTTCAGTCTAAGTTTTGAAACATATTGTTTTCGTACAGAATACATTTTAAGCTTGAAAGTAACGTTCTTGTGTAGATCATAGTTTTTTCATGCTCCCAGTGTCGAGAATCATCTTTGATTTCGGACTTCAATAGTTCTATCCCACAAAAATCTCTCACCCCAAGCTGGCCACATGCACTCTTTACTCATATCGAGATCGCAGACAGGAATTCCTTCATCAGCTCCTGCAAACACATTGTTCATGAGGTCAAGAGCGAAGCACTTACTCACTCACTCACAAAATGTTTCCCAAGTATCGAACGACAGGGAAATTAATAATGATAATGTTAATAATAATAATAATAATAACAATAATAATAATAATATAACTATATAATATGATTACAGATTTTAAGAGGACACCTTCATCACTTTAATTTAAGTGGTTTTTTCGGGGGATCCTCTGAAGAAAAAGGCAAACTAAATATGTATAAAAAGTAAAACTAGGCCTAAGATAAATGAGTAAAAAGATATTTTATGAGTGACTTTAAGTTCCTACAGCTAAAAAATATCGCGTAGAAACACACTTAAGTTCTTATTAAGTTCCTATTATTTCGGATGCAACTTTAAAGATACACATTCAAAAAGGATCAGTCTACAGGCCACACCTATAATCTGCTTTTAGCCGCCTTCTTATGAAGATAAGTCCATTGGTAGCGATACACTACATAGGCACTGCTCTCTCTCTCTCTCTCTCTCTCTCTCTCTCTCTCTGTCTGTCTCTCTGGCGCAAAAAAATGCCTGAGTCAACAAATCTTCCTGATTTTGGTTGTCAGGTTATTTATACAGAAAGTGGTTTAGTTTGCTCATTGTTGATATCTTCCTAAAAGCGAGTTCATGATGACGATTATCGTTGTCGATAAGAGTACAGACCAGGCTAAAGCATAGTCGATTGGTTAAACCTAAGGAGCCAAAAGGAACTTAATGAAAGAACAAGTTGACTTCCTGTGATGCGGCAAAGTAGGACTGACCAAATCACCCCGATTTGTTTTATTTTCGCATCTGATTGGTTTTCAAGATGCACAAATTTTTCAGACCAATCATCACTGAACGGAGTTCAGCAAAAACCAATGCAACTTCTTATTTCTTTCAAAGCTCGATTTAAAATTGCTCATGTGGGGTAACGCGAAATCAATTTTGTAATATTTGAAATCATATCAATGAAAATGCACTTACCTGGCATGAACCAATCACGGCACTTGCAGATTTCGACAACATAAGGAGTCAGTTTGTCCAAGAAACATTTAGATTTGCTGTATTTCTCAAAAAAGCGTAGCTTTGGCATCCCACAATTGGTTCGGTAAGGCGAGGGCAGGTTCGTGATCTGGAAAATATTTTCAATACACCAACAGTGAGCAAAATGGCCTGTGACAGTCTGATTCAAATCTTTTGATTGTATTCTGACCCTCTTCGCGAACGAGAAGCACCGTTTTTGAGACGATAATCTAATGGAAAAACTATGGATAAATGCAAATTTGAATAAGTGTAGAAATGAATAACTCAAAAAATCAATACTGAAAAATAACTGTAAAAATATATCAGTAAATCAGTAAATAAATGACTAATCAGTAAATGAATAATCAGTAAATAAATGAATAGATATTTTCAATACACCAACAGTGAGCAAAATGGCCTGTGACAGTCTGATTCAAATCTTTTGATTGTATTTTGACCCTCTACGCGACCGAGAAGCATCGTTTTTTGAGACAATAATCCAATGGAAAAACTATGGATAAATGTACATTTGAATAAGTGTGAAAATAAATAACTCAAATAAATTGAGATTAGACGTTTGGAAATGGCTGGACTTTATAATGTTTACTAAAATACCCACTTTTATTGGGCATAAAGCAATCCCAATGTTACCAACATTAGATTTACTGAATCAAGAATACTCTGGACCCACCATAAACCTAGGGTACCGATCAACTATCTTCCAATTACTCCACCAATTGATTGACGTAGTTTGCGACTAGCCGCTCCAACAGGAAGATTTTTACTTTTTAATTAAGAATCAAAATAAGAGATCCGGGCGATAATTTCTACTAAGAAAATCAAGCATGCGATATATTTCTCTCGAAGAAAAAAAGGGCTTTTTGAATAAATATTTCACTAACTACGGACTGCTTGCTCTTCATAGGATAATTCAAGTCCAAATCATTGACAAAACATAAGTGTTTCAAATAAAGACTTTTCTCGCCTACGACAAAGAAAGGAGGAAATCTTGTCATTTAATTCATTGATAACAAATTTTAGAATTAAAAGTGAATTTTTTTTTAACCTCTACTTAACACGAATTGAACGATAACAGTGTTGATTTACAACATTTAAATTTACTGCTTGGTGTCAAGAATAATATTTAATCATGTTGTTCTCGGTAGAGATTTCATCTTTTCAACGTCCCATTTTTAAATTTTCAATTCTCAGCTAACTTTAAATAGTTGATAAAATTTCTAACGGTAAAAGCAATTGAAAAGGACCGTTTCAAACGGTATTGAATGGTGCATTTTTTTTAACGAAAATGTGATAACTGAAATTAAATATAGCCGACGCAATAAATTAAGAAACAGATTTCATAGTTAGTTAACTACACAACTAAAAGCAAATGAATTCTGAACGCACCTTTCTCTTCTTTAGCTCCATGTAGGTCGTAAATCCAGGAGATACAGCTAAACCCTGCATTTTTACTGGAGTTTCCTCCTGGTCATGTAAAATTACCTTGAAGCCTGCGCTTTCAACATCAAAATAGTAATCATAATGTTGCAAATCGATAAGAAGACGTAAACCTTTGTCTTCACCTATACTGCTCGTCAAAAGGGCCGGGCTATTTTTACCGGAGTTGAATGTAAAACATACATCTCCATCAGCGTTCTTGAACTCGGCAAAGTTTCTGTGGTCACATTTTGAATCCTTTTGCCATATACATTCCAGAATCATTTCGTCGAGTCGATGGGCAGCATTAGATAGTATATCTGTCATTTCTTTTCCTGAGATATTATTCTTGAGGTGACTGCTATTTCCTCCTTTTATCATTTTGGTTACATAGAGGTTATGCACAGCGGTTCCATTCATTTTCGAGAGGCGGGCATCGTTGTAGTTACAAATAGTAACTGCGGGAAATGCCAGGCTTTTTTCGTAGATGATGAGAGTGGTAGTAGTAAAAGGGAACTGAAAGTAATTGATAATGCTATCGGTGCATTTCTCTAAGAATAACGCAAATGCCCCGAGTAGCAGTAAAGTCCATATTACACGGCGCACAGGTGGGTTGCCCGAGAAGCAAAAGTGAAACCCATGTAATGTGCACCAGTTCAGAAAGGACACCCACAATTCATGAATCTTTTCAGAATTTTTCTTTTTATCCAGCAGCTTCTTGCAGCTTTCATAATCGTTGTTCTTCTTGCATTTCTCGTAGTCGCTCTCAGGAAATCTCCCTTCAAACACAGCAGGCCAAGTGGTCTTCAACGTTTCCGTCACAGCTAACTCTTTACCATTCGTCTCCGATTTGATGTACACCACAGAAATGTCCTTCTTGCAGTGATTGCAAAACGCATACACGTTGTTAGTTCCCGGGCTGAGCTTGTCGCCACCTTTGATGAGAATCTTAACATCCCCCGTCTCCTCAGCAGAGGAGTCGTTCTCGTTGAGCACGTTGGACATTTTTGTTTTGCGTTTGCCCCACCAAAACAGCCAATCTGAACCAAAATATCAACTAACGAAAATTGCTAAACAAAGCAGAAGCACTTCACAAGTTAAGGAGCTTTGCTAGAACGTTGTCGTGAATAAAGGCTAAAATAGATCATTTGAGCCAAAACCTCGTAGCTTTTTCTTATATATAGCTTTGTTGGCCTTTAATTGAATCTATCTCGGGCCTGCTTGTATGAGATGTACAAAAACCAATCAGATATTGTATTCAGTCCACCATACCTGTTATTCTGCCCATTAAACCTGAATTTGCATGTTAAAAGAAGTCATAAATTAAGATTAGTGGCGTCGTTTTATTTCAGGGAATAACTAAGACAGACAGGTGGTAGAAAAGCCAAGAATTATCACACGTATCACCCTGTGACTTATTTCCCTACAGTCTAACGCAATTTAACAATGTTTTATTTCTTCTCTCACCACAACGCAAGAAAATGAGTTTCTAGGGTCTATGCTCACATCTAGTACATTCAGCAAAATAACCCGGCTACATGTATTTATCATCACTGACACTGTTCTCCGTATTTTGAAAAATACGTGATTTATTTGTCTTGACATATTTAAATTGTTTTCTAATGATGAATTATTGTCATCCACTTATGGAGGCGTGTTAATAACATAATTAACCGTTATCATGAGCGAGATAAATTCAAGCAGAACTCTTTTGTTGATCGGTGCGCTGTCATTCCCACTGTGGCAGTCTGTAGGACGCACATTCAGAGGTCTTTAAATTATCGCTTTTCGATGATTTGACGCACACGAACTTGATTTATTATTTATATGCTTTGTCCAATTTTCACGTAAAGTCACCATGAAAAAAGAAAAATACTAAAATAACACGAACATGATTAAAGTACAATGACAGGTCGAGAAAAGTTTGAAAGAACGATGGTAAAATTTGATTTACAAGTAGCCGGGAGTTTGTTTGGCTTCGTGGCTGAGGACACTTTACTGAAATTAAGAAAGAAAGAAAATATAGTGGAGATAAACCAAAACTATCATGAATTAGAAGCTAAAATCACAACATAACTGTTTTGTTTCATCCAACTTGATGGAAAGTTTCAGAGAAACATCTAATTTACCATCCAAGTTTTGGGTACAGCAGGGAATATATATATCTCTATTTATTTTATTTTTAGTTCGTATGAAAATTTATGAAAACAGGAAGGATAAAATTTTAGAAAGACCTCCGTAAGTGCTAGGAGATTCAAAGAAAAAAAAAGAGCCTCTGAGCAAATTGAAAATATTCCACCAAAAACATTTACAAAAATATGTAAGGATTTCCAGTAGGGAAAGATCGAGGTCATGTTTTACTTTAACCTTTTCATAATTAGCCAGTTCTCTTGCTGAATTTTAAAGTGGAACGGAATGCAAATTGTAAACCACAAACGATACAATTAAATTTGCTCGGTTTTTTTTTCCTAATTTACATCATTCGTCTCCAACTAAGCAATAAAAGTCCCACTAAGCTTCGAACTGAACAAAAATTTCCGAACGATTTTTGTTTTTATGCGAAATCGCCCCCTTCGAGAGCTTCTCCTGTCAATATTTGGTTTACTAGTTGTAATCTCATCAAATACCATAGCTATATTATTATTCTTGCGGATTAAATGGTTCAAACATTCTTCTATTGTTGAAAGTATCAACAAGAAGTCAACAAAGAATTTTCTAAATGTGTTATTCAGTGTTTTTGTTTATCAAACCTTTTGGGACTTAAAATACAATAACCTGCGAGTTATCAGGTCCGTTAAGATTACACTGTTAACATTTTCTTTCACTCCCACCCAAATTTAGGGTTGTCATAAGAACTTTCTTTGAAAAAATGGAAAAATTATTCCATCAACCTCAGTAAGGTAGCTAAGAACTTTTGCTTTCTTCTGTAGGATATTGATCAGCAATGGATTTCAAAAACATAATGCAACAACGTCTTTGATCCTCCAAATTTCAGCATTATTCTGAACCATATTATGCTGTTACATATCCAGCATTATTTCACCAAACGAAAAAAGCATTGCAATGTAACTGTCTTAATTTTACAGGAACTTGATTTCACACATTATCCAGCTTTTGCTTCGAAGACATCATGAAATTGTTAAGCTTTAGCACTTTTTGCTTAAGAAGTATTCCGAATATCAGAACTTAATATACAACCAGGAACTTGTTTAGTGAAATCTCTAAGGAATTTATCATAGCCTTTTTCTTTTTTAAGATAATAACAGAATCGAATCTATGTACAGTCATAAAAGCAATTTCACATAACTTGAATTACGCTAGTTTTACTTGCTCCAAAACTAACAAAGTCCTCCGTAAATGTTTTCAAATCACTTATTGTGGTACTTGTATTTAGTGAATAGGACCATTGCCAGAAGGTCCAAATATTCGACCAATGTCAGGAGACTGGCGCCGAGGAATAGACCAATTTGACCTCCCACGTCACCTGAAAAATTATATTGGAGAGATTTAGCACCACGTTTACGTGAAAGGGCAAACGTCAGCTTGCCCTTTCGCGTTTCGGGTAAAATAGTGTTAACCTTGTTGCTTTAGCTTCGCGTGAGCTCACATCAAGGTGGATTTGAGGCGCCCCTGAATGACTTACAGTAAATAGTTTTGGTTCCCCTTTTTCCGGCAATTAATTTTTACTCTGTGAGAGAAAAAAGTCAAGAAAATCTTACGTACACGGCAAACGCGTAACAGGTTATCTTCACTTAGAAACGGCAGAGCGCAACCGCAAACGTGAAAAATGGCGGGAAAAATGTCACGCGGTCACTCTTGCCGTTTCGCGTTTCACTTAAACGTGGTGCTAAATCTCTCTATAACCTATGAGGTTAGGACTGGGCAGGACTTCCGACGTTAGTTCCCATGCTGGGTCGCGATATCTGGGTTCGAGCCATGACCTCACAGGGCCTCTATACACCCAGGAGTATAAACGGATAATGGTAAATGTTAAGAAAAACCTGAAGCAATGCCGAGGGAGGGACACCTGCGATAGACTATCATCCCATCTAAGCGAAATAACAGGCGTCTGGCTGCTTTGTGATATTGAAACCATAATAAGTCTAGGGGCCCGTTTCTCGAGAGTCTTGGTAACTCAACGGACCCAAAGCCATGTTTTAAAATCAACTGAATTTAAAGGATGGAAAAGCAGGTTCTGGCACCCAAACCAGTCCTTTTTGTTTCTTTAGCTCATAGCTTTCTTGTACCATTTTCAAAACTTTTGAAATCCCCATCTTGAATGAAAACAGGGAACGTAGCTCGCAGTGTTGTGGTCTGGCCTGTTTACTGGAAATTGAGGGCGTCTGTTAGATTTCCCTTTATTCATTGTAAACTGCTACAAGCATTCTGGTAAAGTCCCCAGCACTGTGTTGTTAGAATGGCCCTGAAAAGCCCCATGAGGAGTGGTCAACTAACAACTAACCTATGTATGTATGTATGTATGTATGTATGTATGTATGTATGTATGTATGTATGTATGTATGTATGTATGTATGTATGTATGAATGTAAAACAGAACAGCTTAACGGGCCCGTTAAGCTACCGGGACTTTCGAGAAACGAGCCCAGGCCCAAGCCCAGATGCCAGAATAACATGTACCCCCCCCTCTCTCTCTCCCCCCGAAACATTTCCATGAAATCGGGGGCTCTCAAGATCAAAAATCAGGAGGTTTAAGGCTTCCAAATTGAATTTTTCTCTGAACGAAGCTTTCTGATGCGATAATTGCAAGATTACTTAACTTTGTTTTATAAATTTAGTTTGAGGGCCACTAGTTACTCAGTTGAGGCACTTTCCCGTGTTAACCTCGTTAAATAAAGTTGATTTATTGAATGATTGATTGATTGATTACACGCATATGTGTAAAACTTGTATACTAGCCACAATTTGGTCTCAAGAAGAAAGAGGGAGGGGGGGAGAGAGGGAGGGGAGAGAGAGGGGAGAGAGGGGGTGGTTGGGAACTTTAGGGAAGTAAAATAATGTTTCAGCCTTGTAGCGTTTCAGTTGAGGGAGAAATTCATTGCAAGCAGCTCAATGAAAAATTGTTTCGTAAGTGAGACATTGTATATAATATGTTGAAAGAGAGTTTATGTGTTGTAACAAAGAGAATATCATATTCTCTTGGTTGTAACTAATGCATGCTGCTGTAAATGATGATTAAAAAAAAAAAAATTATAATAAGCAATGAAATGTTTCTTACCTAACAAACTGTAGAGATCATAACTGGGAACCTGTCTCACGTCAGAGAAAGTTAAAGATTCGTAGTAAATCCTTAACTCCAAAAGGTTATCTCTGAAATTCAAGTAAAAAATTGAAAACATAAGAAGTGATTTGATGCCTACCTAGGTTAATAATACTTTATTATTTATATTGCGCATAAATCTATATGCATGTAATCTAATGCGCATTACAAATGTTTTTAAAAAACACTAAATATATATCTAAATATAATGTGCATGTACGATTATAATAAGTATTAATTATATGAAGAAAATTAAGAAAGGTTATCTCTGAAATTCAAGTTAAAAAAACGAAAAAAACAAGAAATAATTTTATGTATACCGGTGATTATGATTCATGAACGCCACGGTAAACACGAAAACACACACAAAAAAAGGCCAGCAATGTCGCATATGAGTTTAGAAATCTGACGTAACACTACCTGAGGTATTGCCTGTTTTCTTCGGGTGTTCCTGTCAAATTTGTCTCTTTGGACAAAAGATAATCAGCGAAGGCATTGGCCGGATAGCGGGCGTATGACAACTGTGCTGAAAACTCCACGCTCTCACATGCCACGGGACACTCGTCCAATTTCTTGTCCTCGAAATGCACTGAAAGTTTAAATAAAAAATCTCTAAAGATTCTGCCAAAGTAATATTTTCATTTCCCAATAGTTAAAGATAAACTGCGAAGGCCATGAAGCCAAACAGATTTCTTTGTTATTTCATCCTATTGGTGTCTTATATCTGACCATAAACAATGTCGAAGAGCGCTCCAGGTAATCTAATCGAACGCATAAACAGAAGCATGCCATTAATTCATGAAGTCACGATGTGCTCAGGCACAAAATTAAAAGCAAAAGAAAAATATTTTCCACTGTCAAGGAGCTTACAACTCAAACTTTGATCTTTTGTTAGAGTGGCTTACAATAAAAACCTTCCTCTACCTATTATAATTTTGATCTTCGTCATTTAAGAATCTGTGTAGGGCTCATAAAATTGAAACCTTTCCTTTTCTTATATATTACATTTTAAACTTTAAATTAATAATCTTCTCTAAATCATAATATGTGTTTTCATGCTCCCCTAGGTCAAGAGACACCTTTGACTTGACATCACTGGCGCTACTTCATAAACATTTCTTACCCCACGCAGGCCACATGCACCTTTGACTCGTCTCCATATCACAAACAGGAATTCCAACTTTAGCTCCTGCGGACAAATTGTAGAAAGGTCAAGCACAGAAAACTCACCTTGAGAAAACGTCGCTCACATATTGAACGAGAGTAAAATTATAGTTGAAATTTAAAGATCCATCAGCTTCACCTGTCGCAAGAAATACGAGCACGAGGGAGCATTTATGGGTCTTATCCTACAATATGCTTCTAGTAACCGCTTCATAACGCAATTTCGCTAAAGTAGCGATAGACCAAATGGGTACTGGTCTTTCGCTTTACCGTTGAAGCTGAAATGACGTTAAGTTTGCCTGTGTCATTCAATCCCTCTGATTTCGGTTGTCAGCCCAATTAGACAGGAAGTGGGTGAACGTTTTTAACGTTGATATCTTAAAAGCAACGTCGTTCTGCACTTTTTCAGCAAGTGTCATAGGACCAAGACTGAAGTTAGCGCAACGGCCAGTTAGAACAAAGAAAAATGGCATAAGCATAATTAGAACAAACTAACTTCCTAAAGAGGGGGAAGAAACCAGTGACGCTGTCGCGATTGGTTTCAGTTTTGCGTCTGATTGGTCGGAGGATGCCGCGGGTTTTTCAGACAAATCATCACTGAGTGGAGTACAGCAAAACCACTGCAATTTCGCGATGAGAATCAATTGATAATTACTCTGGTGTAGTAACATAATCAGTGAATAGAGAAGCTAACTTCACACAGATCATCACTGAGTGGAGTACAGCAAAACCACTGCAATTTCGCAATGAGAATCAATTGATAATTACTCTGGTGTAGTAACATAATCAGTGGATAGAGAAGCTAACTTCTAATATAATAATAAGAATAACTTTTAAAGTAGTAGTTGTCAAATGAAAGCAGACTAACCTGGCATGAACCAAGCACGACACTTGCAGATTCTGACGACATATCGTGTCAGTTTGTCCAAGAAACATTTAGATTTGCTGTATTTATCAAAGAAGCGTAGCTTTGGCATCCCGCATTTCGTTCGGTAAGGGGAAGGCAGGTTCGTGATCTGGAATGTATTGTCAATACACCAACAGTGAGCAAAATGGCCAATAACACTGTGACCGTTTTTAAAACGATAATTGAATAGATAAAAAATAAACAAATGGATGAAAAGGTGAAAAAATAATTGCTACGATTGAATTTTAAACTAATACATATCTAGCCAGTGTTCTGACTGGTTTACTCAAATCCAGTTATCAGCTCATATGCTGAATCGAACTATACGGAAAATTATCTACCAAAGCGTTGCTCAGCTGAATTTTCTTTTGACTGGAAGCAGACAGTTCTCCCGTATAACAGAAATAAAGAACAAATACCTGTCAATATCATCTCGGTAACAAAAGTAACAGCTACAAAGTGCGATATAACCTTATTAAAGTTTCAAACCTTTTTTTATTATGCACTTGACATCAACGTTTTATAGTTTAGAAAAAGTATAATGCTGCTACAACAGAAAGAACAGCTGGCTATCTTCTGAATTTTAAGATGACTTGCAAGGTTTGCGTCAAAATTTCTAAGTTCTAACAGGACCTTTAGTTACAAAGGCTACCTGGTAACCATGATATTAGTTTCTTCCGTTCGCTACCGCACACATTCGTAAATGAGTACAACGCTTCAGTATAACCTTAAAATTTTTATAGATTTAACCGTATAGTTGTCTCAGTAAGTTTGCAACTCGTAACTCGTACACACAGGGCAAGAAAACGAATTTATGATGTTTAAACGAAAACTGTCCTAGATCACTCGCTTGACTCGGTTACAAAAATGTACTCTAACAGCCGCGCACAACGTTTTGCTTGCCTATAAGCTGGAACTAAAAAGTAATTGAGTGCTTGTGTCGTAGGTATTGTATCTGGCACCATTGAATGTTGCTTGGATCGGAAATTACCGCATCACGTGTAAATATTCAGGCCCTGCTGTGTAAAATGTTTAGCGTTGAATTTTTATCCAGCTTCGGTCGTAAAGCGGAGCACATGTCATGTGATTAAGGTTTTGCCGTTTGGCCGTTGGAATTGAAATAGATTTCCGACTTTTAAAGAAAAACAATAAAGAATTGTTGTCAGCGCGGCGCGTGGAACTCCGGGAGTAAGCTGCACGGAACAGTCCTTCTTTTCGCGCGTCCTACTCCCAGAGTTTCAGACGGCGTGCAGTCATCAATTTGTTTCACTAATTTTTTTTTTTTCGCGCCACGAACTTCGCCGAAAAGCAGTGAATGCTCTTGGTCTCCAAATTTATTGAGTCAAGTATATTCTACACCATTAAATCAGTGCGACACCGGTCAAGTCCACCGATGGATTGACGTAATTTGCTGCGAGCCAGTTCAACAGGAAGATTTTTACTTTTAAATTAAACATAAAAACAAGATATCCGGGTGATAATTTCAACAACACAAAATCACCAGCATGCAGCACATTCTTCTGAAAATAAAAAAAGGTTTTTTGAATGAATACTTCACTAACTACGAACACCTTTCTCTAGATGTGTTAATTCGATTCACTTTCTATTGTTGAAAGTCCAAACCGAAGACAAAACAGTATTATTTCGTATAGAACTCTTTTCTCGCTTACGATCAGGAAAGTATAAGAAATCTTATCATTTAAATCCTTGAGGAACAACTTTATAATTAAAAGTAAGGTTATTTGAACCTCGACTTAAAAAGAATCGAACGACAACAATGTTAATTAAATAACATTTGCATTTCCTCCTTTGGTATCAAGAATAAGTAATATTTAATCATGTTGTCCTCGGCAGAAGTTTCATCTTTTCATCATTAAGTTTTTTTTCATATTATCAGCTGATAACTTTAACTAGTTGATAAAAATCTTCCTTGACATAAAAAAAAATTAAAACAAAGTTTCGATCGGTGTTCATAAACTGTATTTTTTCTCAACGAATAACATGAAAACAGAAATTTAATATTGCCCACGCAATTATATTAGAAATAGATTAAGTATTGTTACTTAACCACACATCTACAAGTAAATGAATTCTGAACGCACCTTTCTCTTCTTTAGCTCCATGTACGTCGTAAACCCAGGAGATACAGCTAAACCCTGCATTTTAACTGGAGTTTCATCCTGGTCGTGTAAAATCACCTTGAAGCCTGCGCTTTCAACAGCAAAGTAATAATCATAATGCTGAACATCAATGAGAAGACGCAAGCCTTTGTCTTCACCCGTGCTGCTCGTCAAGAGGGCCGAGCTATTTTTACCGGAGTTAAACGTGAAACAAACATCTCCATCAGCGTTCTTGAACTCGGTAAAGTTTCTATGGTCACATTTTGAATCCTTTTGCCATTTACATTCCAGAATCATTTCGTCGAGTCGATGGGCAGCCTCTGAAAGTGTCTTCGTCATTTCTTCTCCTGAGATTTCTCTAAGGAGGTGACTGACGTTTTCCCCTTTAATCTTGGTTCTGAAATAGAGCTCATGCACAGTGGTTCCATTCATTTTGGAGAAGCGCGCATCGTTGTAATTGCAAATACTGACTGCGGGAAACACCAAGCTGTTCTCGTAGACAATAAGCGTAGTAGTGGTAAAAGGGAACTGAAAATAATTGATAATGCTGTCAGTGCACTTCTCGAAGAATAACGCAAATGCCCCGAGTAGCAGTAAAGTCCATATTATACGGCGCACAGGTGGGTTGCCCGAGAAGCAAAAGTGAAACCCATGTAATGTGCACGAGTCGAGAAAGGAAACCCACAATTCATGAATCTTGTCCGACTTTTTCTTTTCATCCAGCAGCTTCTTGCAGCTTTCATAATCGTTGTTCTTCTTGCATTTCTCGTAGTCGTTCTCAGGAAATCTCCCTTCAAATACAGCAGGCCAATTGGTCTTCAACGTTTCCGTCACGGCTAACTCTTTACCGTTCGCCTCCGATTTGATGTAGACCACAGAAATGTCCTTCTTGCAGTGATTGCAAAACGCATACACGTTGTTAGTTCCCGGGCTGAGCTTGTCGCCACCTTTGATGAGAATCTTAACATCGCCCGTCTCCTCAGCAGAGGAGTCGTTCTCGTTGTACAAGTTCGACATTTTTGTTTTGCGTTGGCCAAAGCAATCAACAGTCCTCAAACAAAACACCAACTTAAAGTAATTGCCGAGCCAAGTATACTAATACCTCACAAGTTAAGTAGCTCTGCTACAATCTTTTCATAAGCCAATGGCAGAAAAGATCATTTGAGCCAAAACCTCTTAGCTTTTTCTTATATATATATATATCCATGTTGGCCTTTAATTGAATCTATCTCGGGTCTGCTTGTATGAGGTGTATTAAAACCAATCAGATATTGTATTCAGTGCACCATACCTGTTATTCTGGCCATAAAACCTGAATTTGCATGTCAAAGAAGTTATAAATTTAGATGAGTGGTGTTTTATTTCAGGGAATAATTTAGTCAGACAGGTGGTAGGAGAGCCGAGAAATGCTGCACATTTCACCCTGTGACTTATTTCCCTCTAGTCTAAAGCAATTTACCGGCAAAGTTTTATTTCCTATCTCGCCATAAAGTGTTGTAAAGATTTTCCTGGGAAAACATGCCCATAGAAAGTCCATTAAGCTAAATAACCGACATGCATTTATCACTATTGACACTGCTCTCCGTATATTGGGAAATGCGTGATTTATTCGTTTTGACGTATTTAAATTGTCGTCAAATAATAAATTATTGCCGTCCACCCATCAAGGTGAGTCGATAACATAATACCGTTACTATATGCCGAGATAAATTCAAGCAAAAGTCTTTCGTTCATCAATGCGCTGTCATTCCCACTGAGTCAGTCTGTTGGACGCTTCTCGAAAGGCCTTTAAATTACCACTTTTCGATGATTTAGACGCACACGAATGTGATTTATTATTAATATGTTTTGTCCGATATCCACGTAAAATTGCCGTGAAAGAAGAAAATACTAAAATAACACGAACATGATTAAATTACAACACCAGGTCGAGAAAAAAGCTGAAAGGACGACGGTAAAATTTAATTAACGAGTAAGTTGTTTGGCTCCGTGGCTGAGGACGCGAAAACAACAGACGAGACGCTAAAATCAAAAGATAGTCGTGTGAGATTCTTTTCCTCTAATTTTCAAAGAAAATCATTGAGAATATATAAAATTTGCCAGCAAAATTCACGGGTATGATAGGGAATATTTCCTCACTTGCAATTTTTTTATCAAATTTGTCAAAACAGGAAGGAATAAGATTTCAGAAAGACTTCTGTAGTTGCTACGATATGAAAAAGAATCTCTGAACTAATTGAACATACTCTACGAAAACATGTCCAAAAATATTTTTATCCCTTGCAAAATCATTTACTTCTCCAGTTGTTTTTAGAGTGGAGATGGAAGAATGTAAACTGCAACCATTAGACTAAGTTATCAAGTCTAAATCTTCTGTTTCTCCACTCCAGGTAAAAAAAAAGATAATTCGTTTAATCCATATTATTAGGAAATAACCCATCTTGAATTATTCATTCCCCAGTGTGTATGCCGCGATTTTGCGCAACAACCGCAAGCGATTAATCAAGAAATTTCCATGGAAAGTTGAAACAATAAAAATTAGGACTCCGGTGAGAAATATGATGGAAAGCCATTTCCTATTCATTAACACAAGGGGAAAAAAAGGAGATGACAAACTCCTGGTAACGGGAATCTTCCATCGGCGATCCTAGTCAGAAATGGCTACTTCAAACTAATTTTTCATACGAAGCTCTTTCAATCTCAACTTAATGACATTCGGCTAAAATAATTAGTGATTTCCACTTGAAACAAGTTCAGCAAATGGGATTAAAAAAAAAAAAAAAGTTAAGCGACTCATCAGAAGATGACTTAAAATTGCCGACGTTTGACGCTAATAATTTGTATCTCTTGTGGAAAATAACGAAACAAAAATGTTTTCATGCTGCGAAACATCAAAATTAGAACTTCCATCTCATTATGCACTAAAATGACACAGGCCAATTGAAAAAGCAGCAGTTGAAAACTTAGTCTTTTGCAAAGAGGGTTGCTATGCTAACGAGTAAAGTCGCCAGAAACCCTGCATGTTTTTATCCCTGCTGCCTTCATCTATCTCTGAGAAAAATAGAAAAAAATAAAAAGTGAAAGCGGCAGCTTAAACTTTCCTTACCTCAGAGATAACTGTGAGTTTTGCATAGGGAAGCCAGTCAAGGGATTTTGGAGTGAATCTCGATTAGAAGCACAACCAGAGAAACCTTTACAGAAAAAAGAGTATTTTATTCAATTTTATCAGTTAATCACAATATTTTGTCTGCTGCAGGTATTTCTTTTAGACAGTCCACCTTATCATAACATTTAAAAAACCACCGCAACAGTAGGTTCTACTTCATATTGTTAGGCTCGCGAATCTTACAGCGCTACAATAACAGTTATCTTTGAACAAGTTTCCTCCATTTCTAGAAATTTTTAGGAATATTTAGGACCTTATTTACCCCTATTCTACAGTTACTTACATTGCATTTTACTTTTAAAATGTAAGTCTTCAACTGTTTCTTCTAGTATGTTAATTTTTTCGTGGTCGACTCAACCAGCTTGTTAAGAAACAATAATTGATGTCAACTAAAACATTTTGACGGTATTCCCGAGCGATATTTAGAATGGTCTGGCTTGAGGCTGAACTCTTCAGTTCTTAAGTGAATGTCTTGCAGAAGAGAACCAAAACCTTAGAAACAAAATACCCTGATGAAAAAATGAACGGCGAAATGAAGTCCCGTAGGACCAGAACAGTTAAAAACCCGATCAAAACTCTTGCGTTTATCATACATAATTATTAAATGCCAACATTTAGCAATTTTTTCCTCCGTCTGTCGTTTACTTTGAGTTCACTGGTTCTGGCAGTTGTATATTGACATGGCATGTCGACGTGTTACACCAGAAGAAGCCAGTCTTGGTTCCTTAACAAAGTTTCCCACTAATTTTTTACCTCAAGAAATATTTCTGGAGGGACACTTAATTTATCTCTAATGCGAGTTATTTTTTTCAAAATGTTTAAGCAACGGGACAGCTTTTGGTGTCATTAGTGGCATTCACTTGATATTATATATGATCCATATGCCACAATACCTCGATCAAAATAATTTTAAGGCCACCTCTACCCTATCCAATTCCAAAAATAAAGTAACCATTTTTTCCTCTCCCATCCGCCAACTCCTTGCACTTTACGCTTGCGTTTGTGCAGACCTCAACGGATCTAAACAGGAAATCTGCGGCGTGCTCTTGATGCACCATTCCTAACATGCTCCAATTGCCTCCATCTCTCCACAGAGATATCTCCACAGAATCCTTTACCGCCAGCCGATTTGTAGATTGAAACAGAAAATATCTACACAGTGGCTGATAAATAGAAGAGACTGATCACACGTTCGTGCTTTTATCGCGATACTTTGACCGTAACCAACTAACAACGACCATGACAAACAGATCAACGACCTCCAGCAAGGTGATGAAACTTGCACCAAGCACGAGTCCAAGCTGGCCACCAGCGTCACCTGCAACAAAGAAACCTCACTCTTAGACAAAAAAAGTTGGGTACATCGTTCATGATGGGCGTCATTGACTGTTCTACAAGCAGTCGCTGGCGATTTGTGGTTGAGGAATTGTTCTGTTGTCCTTATGGGTAGTATGTTATCACACACACACACACACACACACAAAAAAAAAAAACATTTCCTTACCTACTAACTTAAAAAAGCCATAAGAAGGGGTTTGCTCAAAAACATCAATTCTAAGTTCGCTATAGAAGAACTTTAACACCACGTAGTAGTCTCTGCAAAGACAAAGTTTAATAACTTAATAGCTATCAGAGAAACTTTTTAGTAAAGTTTCTGATCCCAGACGTGTGCAGGGAGCTTGCAACATGAGAATCTCGGATATGAAAAGATCCAAACCTGAGTTCTCTATCGCTAAGTGTGAGTGAATCAGACCGCAAGATGCAGAGGTCAAGGTTCGAGACCTGGTGATACATTAAGATTTTTTCTTTATCCCACGCTCGCGACAATTGTTGAATAACATCTCTTTTCATTCGACCATCATCTTAATAGCCAACAGAAGCATTGAAAGAAGAACACTTACAACATAAATTTGATAACTTCGTCCGTGTCATTAGGTAAGTTTCTGCCTTGTGTGAGTTTCTCGTATTTTCGCTTTACCGGAACAAGTTTCTGTGGCAGGTAAAGAGTTTGAGACAACTGCGCTTCATATGACACCTTTTCGCAGTCTACTGGACAATCAACTGGGCTGTTCATCTTGGATTCGTATTCCTCTATGAAAAGAAAACCAACAACAAGAAAATGTGAGGTCAGGAAACAGCTTACAGGTATTGAGCACTTCTTTTCTGCAATTTGACAATCTGATCAATGAGACATGGCAACTTAGGTAGAAACAAACAAATTTCGCTGTGTTACGGAGTGCTGCAAGTATTGTGGGATAGCTTTGGTTTCCAGCGTGACAGTCTGTGATTGGCCTAAAGAATTCTTATAACCTCAACCAATCGCAAACACAACTCATGTCAATTGCAACTTGATTACTAGCTTTTTACCGCTCTTAACAAAGTTAGTAAATCTTCCCTCTCGATTCACATTGGCTTGTTTGTGACATTCCTCTTAATCTGATTGGTGATAAATTTTCGATCTAGTTTTGTTTAGTGACGCTTTGTTTAGTAGTTCTACCCTGGCGATATTGTGATGGGTCTTTCTTGAGATGACAAGGAAATATCTTGTCGGAGCTTTTTGATGATAAAGAACTTAACTCAACGATCTCTTATTAACTATCTCTAAAGGACAAGACTGCTCACCCCAAGCTGGCCACATACAATCTATGGTCTTGTTCAATGAACACAGAGTAAAATTATTCTTCGTTTCTACAAAAAAAAAGTGAGGTTAACAATTTTCAAGGAAGAGCCTCAGCCAAGTTACTCTTCCGACCACACAGGGACAATCGAGCTGTTATGTGTTACCTTGCCAATTGAGATAAAATAGGGAAGGTGATCTTTAATAATTCATCCAAAGCAGTTGCTGTATAATGCTGTAACTTCATTTCAAAGTGTCTTCAAACACATCAAACTCTAAGTTTCTATAAATAATAGTTAAATGCGTTTGTTGTGTTTCTTCTGGGTGCACCTAAAGACGCAGTATGGCTCGCTAAGCTTTTCTTTCTGGCCAAGCGTTGCTCATTTTTACCCGTCGTGAAACATGGTACTAAATACACATGCAATGCAGTTTTAAGTGGACAGTAAAAATCACTCAGGGCTATAATATATTTTCAGCAATCGGAAGCTGAATTGCTCGCTTACCTGGCATGAACCAACCTCTACAGCCACACTTGTTGGAGACGTGTTTTGTCAATCCTTCCAGAAAACATTTATTTCTGGAATAAGCGGGGAAATAGTCCAACGTTTTTCCACCACAGTTTGTGCTAAAAGGATCACGAAGATTTGTAAGCTAAAAAGAGACAAAGAAATGGCAAAAAGATTGCGATAAGCACATTTTGTAAGGCTTTCTTGATCGTTTGGTGGTGTAGCTAGTCAGATCTTACTTGAGAATGGTTTGAAGCGAAACGGGTGTCATGGCAAACACAGGAAAAAAAGTTTGGGTACCTACTTAGGACGCAACAACTCATATGGCAACAAAGATGAATGACACTAAGCTGCATTGTAAAAAAACGTATTACTCTAATGTTGGCATGGGACGCGGGAAGTGTCTAGTGGAGAGCAAATGAGGAGCACATCGCTGCGAAGGTGTCCCTTTAATTTACTTTGGTTAAAGAAGCTTACATTGCAGAGACCATAGCAGCGAATTTTCATTTAAATTCTCTTGTCTTCAGCTTGCATTCAAAAAGGCCATTGAACAACTACACAGCCATTAGGAACTTTCCTGCTATAAAAGATACCTTGCTTTCTTTCGACTTAACATGCGTCTCCCCCCATATGTCCGTCACAACGACAGTGAAAGAACGACAAAAAAAAAGACAAAAAAGCGAAGAACGACAGGCATTTCGAAAACACGTCAAGGTGCTACAAAACAATTTGATTACAAGGTTTGGTGCTTTGTCGCTCTTACATCTTACAAAAATAAACATCTTCATTTACCACCCTGGGAGAAAAGGACTTCATTTAAAGTCCCTACGATAAAAGCAACTTGAACACAATTTTTTAAACCTTTTTCCATTTTTCTAGTTGAAAAGAATGAATTATAAGATTGCTTTCGTTAATTTTTTAGCTGTTAAGTGAAATATTTTGAAATGAGGTAAAACGCGAACAGTGTTATGCAAATAAAGGTTCAACATCACTTTTGGAAGTAATTTTTATTTTCCGAAAAAAAAAAAAAAAATGACTCTATGAAGATTGGCTTAATGGATAAAGGTGAAAAGCTAGGATCGCGAATTAAAAAGTCGGAAGACATTTCTAATCTTTATCCGCGTAAACGAATTACTTCAATTTACAAATATGAGTCAACACGCTTTAAAATAATTCAGTACTCATCAGCAGGGAATTTTCAGCTTTCTGCGTTACGGAGAAACAATTCAGAAGTCATACAGAGGCGCACTTACAGACCAAAAATTAAGCTACGATAAAACAAAATTCATCGAAAAAGGAACACTTCAATTTTTCACATACTTTAGAAAAAGAAGGAAAACCTCGTCAATGTACCTTGAATTATTTGCAACTGTGTATTAAAATCTCAGTCTTTCGGTAATTGCAGTAAGATGTTACTCAGATCGAGGAAAACTATCCCAAAAATATATTAATTCTAAAATAGAAAAGAGCCCTCTTGTTCAAAGATCCCTTGAAAGACTGCAACCAAATTGTGTCATTTCTGGACAAATAAATATCATACAAAAACAATACGTTTATTACTGACTATTTTTGCTGTACCTACGGTACCTTGCAATTACCACTTTCGATGATGTACCACGGTATTGAAAAAGCTTTGGTTAATTTTACGAGAAGAAAAAAAATAGGCAGAACCTGGTCTCTTAGGGATTGTATTGTAATGGCACATACAAATTTCGTTCTCGGTCCAATTAAGGCAGAATTTGATGGAGTCTCCGAAAATGGCACACTTAGCTTAAATTGCTGATAAAGATTCTTACTAAAATAGCGGCGAGCCGGTTAAAGGAATTTGCATGCGCAAAAATGTCGCCACAGATTTCAACATACATCGTAAAATATTAATGTTGCGGTTAAGCGATGTTTGTAAAATGCGTCATTCAAAGCAGATCGTGCATTCGTAAATTTAGGATGCACGCTTGCATATAAATAAAAAACTAGCTGCGATAAGGCAAATTGCGACATAGAGACACGAAAGCTTTTCCTTCTTTTTCAGAACCAAAAGTAAAACTTCCAGTCCGCCTAGAAATAGACCCTGACATTACACTGAAATCAGGTTTACTGTTTGACCAAAAATAAAAACCCTAAAACCCAAACTAGGGCTTTTAACAATACATTTACCATTCATTCGAATTTGATGGTTTAATTTGTTTCTGTAGACCAACCGATGCGCTAAGAAAACCAAATAATTTCCCTTGTTCTCGTCTTCAAAACACTCAGCGTGTTATTTTAAGCTCGTGCTTCTTTTGTTGATAAGAAACATATCTGACATTTTTCTTCCGTGCGTGAGAAGGGATCGTTCGCTGAAATAGGAAGTCATTCCATTACGAACCACAACATTCGGAGAAAAGTAATAAATACCTTAAACAGCGTCCCACGCAATACATTAACAAAGATTGTTGTTGAACGGAACGAGATTCAACCGAGGAATCGTTTGCTTGGACCTGATATCTTGCGCGAAAATTCTGCGATTAAAGTTACAGTTTCGTTGTTGTGACGTGAATAAGTCAGTTGATTGTTTGAATAACAAACTCGCAATGATAAAAAAAGAATTGAAGAAGAAAAATATTTACCACCTTCGAGAGATGAATAAGAAAATAACTGATTTTAATGCATTCATCTAAAAAGTAATAACGATGCACAATCACTTCGCTCCATAAAAAAAAAAAAAAAACAAAAAAACTACAGGTTATAAAAAAAATACTCCTCAAGTCCTTACAGAGTACAGTTGAAAACGCCTGGGCGTCCATACAAGGAAGTCTCTTACACAATGCACGACTACATGGGAGAAACGATTATATAAATTCCTGTCTCTTGTAGGAACTACAACATTTGCGACAATTCGAACGCAAGCTGTGGGGGTTCAGACTAAACCCAAAACAAAATAATAGAAATTTAACATGACAGAAGAAGACTAAATAAAATACCTTTTCCATTTTCATATCCACAAACGTCACGTAACCAGGAGGAACATGAAATCCCACTCGCTTTAGAGGAAGTTCTCCTTGCTGGTGAAGAATAACTTTGACTCCGCTTCCGCCATAAGTTTTTCCCTCCTCCAGAGGCTTCGTGTTCAAAACCAGATGTAAACCGTACTTCAGCCCAACATTATCTGTTTCCAAAAATGTCTTATTCCCTCCCCCATAATTTAGTGTGTAACATGTGTGTCCATCCGAAGACAGAAACAAGGTAAAGTCTTCGCGATCACAAGGGACGTCTTTACTTTCGTTAACTCCTCGCTTCAAAACGCAAGAAATTAAAATGTCGTCTAAGATCGAGAAAGCATCTTCCAGAACATCACCCATAACACGTTCCGGATTATGTTCGGTTGAGTTCCCTTTCGCGCTCGTTTCCCCCTGAAATGTTGACCTGGCTAGTACAGTTTTTCTGATGTCTCTCAGATCGCAGATCGAAATTGCCGGAAGCACCATCTTATTGGGGTAGTCAACAGTGGCGAGTGTACTAAACGGATACTCGAAATACTGAGTTATACTGGCTTTTACCTCGTTGATAAACGCTCCACCAGCGCTCAACAGTATCGCAATCCAGATAACTTTGCGCCAAATTGACTTCGTGTCGAAAACGTAGTGCAAGCCATGAAGAGTATTATGCCGCAGATAGTAATCCCAAACGCGTTTTATTCTTCTTCGACGATCACCCTCAAGCGTAGTCTCGGCCTCGTCACCGGATAAACATGGTACACTGTCATTCTCGTTCTCGCTTTCATGTTCGTGAGAGAACCCATTGGGCAGAGGTTGAAGTTCTTCGGGATCTTTATCCTCATCCAAGGAAAATGTATCGTCAGCGATTTTACGTCGATGCGATGGTGACTGACACGCACAAAATTTCGAAGTCATTTGCTTGCCGTAGAGTGCATTGCACTTTTAAAACGCATTATTCACTCGGCAAACATTGGAACAGGATTCTTCCCAGCGTGCTCACCTGCGATTGTTACAACGGCAAACGTAAGAACAGGCAACTTTGGTGACTCAGCGCTGACAACAAAACATTGATAAAAAGTGAAGCGGGAAAGAATCACTTCAAACTTACAAAACAACAGATAACATCTCAAAATGTTACAGCACGCCAATTTTCGATTGAACCAAAATTACTTTTTATCTTTTGCACGTCACTGTTTACATGTAGTACCAACGTTTCCCTATTACAACGCGAACACCTGCCACTTTTCAGGAGAGCTCCGGCTATTCATTATTCAACAACAGAACGCTATCTATTATAATTCCATTGCCGGCCACTCACAACCTATCTTCATTGTTCCCGAACCACTGTTGTTCGAAGTATGTTAATTTTTCTTCACTTAAGATGGTACAGGCTCATGTGAACTATTCGCAAAGGCAGAATCTCGTTAAGTCCAAAGTCACACTTTTTAAACGATTATGACGACGAGCTTTAAAAACATCCTGTTGGGGATAAAGTTTGCGACAGAGACAATCTTCAACCTTCATGCAAACAAAGCAAGTCTACTGACTCGCTTTTAATTGGGCCAAGTAACGTCTGGATCAAAACTAATATACAAATCCTCTCACTTTCCCGCTATGTTCCAGAAAAATAAAGCTCCCTAATGTTTGTTGTCTCCTTGGGTAAAATCATCATCGCGCTTTAACTAAGAAAGAGAATTTGTCCGTCTATACTTATTTAAGCCTTTCCGCCAAAAACAGATATATCGTTTTCGATTGTTACACGGATTATTTTGAAATTCTTGCTTTATCTGTTGTGCGCGAGTTCGCTTTTGGTATTATCGTATCCTCATTCAGAGGGACTTCTATCAATGCGTTAATCCTCGAGCTTCTTCTGGGAAAATTGAAATGATTTATTGCACTCATAATCGAATTAACGAAAACTGTAAATTACATTTTGAGTCTAAATCAAAACTCGAGTTCCGGCGAAATCGGAATTTCACACGAACACAAAGAAAAGTGTTTCACACAAATTTAAATTTATTCAATGTATATCCTGACTTTTCAAAGCACCACCACAAACATGTTCCTAATTGGTTTTTGGTGTCTTTGCTCTAGGAGAAAAAAAAAAGAAAAGGAAAGAAAAACGCTGTTAGTTTGATTTTCTGTTAAGGGCCTTCACACCGCATTTAGGTAACTGCGGTTATGTTCATTCTCCTTGAAACCGACGAAAAGAACCCCGTAGATGCCAACAAGGGATTTGACACAACAAGCGAAGCTTCACGATGACTCGGGCTCCCCGTTGTGATGGCCTAATGAGTTACCAGCCTCGCTCCGCCGATTAAAGCAGGTTCTCGCATTCAAACATCGTTCAGTTCCATTTCCTGGGCGAAATTTGATAGGAATAGAAAAAAATTTAGAGCCATTTGACAGAAAATTGATTAAATAACAAGAAAAACTACTTCTCAGTTCTGGTTAATTTAGTCACCTTTTTAAATACAGAATATTTCCCGCGCAAAAATTACTCTCGGTAAACCCCCTGCAGCGTACAACGACACATTTTTATCGCTGTTACATCTATACATCCGCATCGAGTTTATCAATGCTTAAATAATATCTTTTGAACCCTAAGGAAATTGAAATTACAAAAGAAAACGAGGACGGCTATAACTAACATAGAACTCCAACTTAATGATCCTCCGTTGGTTCTGATTCAAAGTATTGGTAAATAATGAGAGTCTAAAAACTTTACATCGAAGTTGCCGATATTAGTTTGGCGACGGACCACTATCGCCCTTTCCGTGATTACAATGACAGCTAAACGAACAAAAAACCTTTTGTTGTAAAAAAAGAGTAATAAAAGTATCAGCCTTTGCTCTGTCAGTGTCATGAAGGAAAATGTTTCTTAAGAAAATGTTCGGACTAAACTTGGGAAAAAGTACTTCATAGTCCGTTTAAGCTCTAGCTAAGGCTTTACGATAAAGACAAAAAGTTTAACCAGGTAATTTCGGAGTAAAGATGATCTCACATAATTGGAAAGTAAAATGTGACAAAAATTATTATTACTTATTACTCTGGTCACTAAGCAATAGATATTCATAGGAGATATGTCGAAATAATTGCCTCATGAAAGATGGATCAGCCGCGAGGTCATCAAATTTTCAAGCGAAAATATAACCGGCCTAAAAATAAACTCAACTGATCGCCCATTAACAACAAAAACCTTTACTCTTTCACTGTTTAAACATGTATGTCAAAAATGACGACGCAATTTCAACACTTGCAGCAATTCAATATTTCAAAGAGTAACGACCACATGTCAAGCCGCGCGTTTGGACAGCTAGCAGTACACCAAGGGCAAACGCTTAGTTAAGGCCGTTTAAACGGTTTCAACATTTGCTTCAACAGGCATTGAACACTTTGTTGGAACAAATGTTTGGTGCGTTTAAACAGGTCGTCCAACATTGTTGAAAACGTAAAAAATGTTGAAAGCGCGTTCAATCAAGTTTAAATCGGTTTAAACTTTCATTCCACATCGATTCAACTTTTTCTTTGCAAGGCCTTTGAAAGGCCTCCGAACAACTTTGTTTTTGCGTCCAACATTTGCTCAACATCCGTTCAACTTTTGTTGAACGAATGTTGGTCAAATGTTGAAACCGTTTAAACGGGCCTTTAGCCTCGTCACACCCTACCTAATTGATTCTAAACCGAATAACTCAAAGTAATAATTTGGTGTACTGGTGGATATACTGTCCAGAATATAATGAGAATATAAAGTTATTTTTATTAAAAGCCGATGTTCTTATGATTCCAAGAAACAACAGTTAAACCACCATTCCCAACAAAGTTCTCCCCAATAAAGTCATCCCCAATTTATCTGCCATACTTAACGAACGGTTTGCCATCCTAAATAGGGATTCGAGCTCTCCCTAGACTCCTTACGCCGTGCAAACACCGCGAAATTTTCAACATGATATCGAGACCAGATTTACAGAGCGGGTCAGCTTCGTTTCTGAGAAGTATCCTATCTATCCTAAAGTCAAATGCAATCAAAGTTAATTATTCCTCTGAGTTACGGAGGTCTTCCTCTCAAAATTTCGCATTTTTTTAATGGAAATTGTTCATTTCCAATTTCACTATATTTTCTATCCTTAGGTATTGCTCTTTCATTCCTAGCTCTGTTTTTGCAGCAATTCGCGATGCGAAAGTGAATTTAAGCGAAATTCCTTGAAGGGTATGCATTTTCTCCATAGCCACGACCATGATAACGGTTTATTTACATCGAAAACCAATGAAAAATGCCAAGTCTCAGTTTACCGAACCAAATCAAAATTAGCCTGCCACCCCTCCCTGAAAGAACAGTCTTTATCTGCCTTGTCTGGGGCATTTGAACTAGGCATAAATGAGTGGGCAAGCTTTTATGGTCTCGTCCATGTGCTTTTCATATTTCACAATCAAGCTTTTACGAAAATTTATCTGTGTAATTTGTTAATCATGCCGAAAGCCCGGATATTCTAAAAAGCGTAGATTTTATAGAAATTAGCATTCAAAGAAGAAACATAAACGCGGACACAGACTTCAGCAACTCTGCCTCTCCTCGAAAAATTCTACTCCGAAAGCAGTCCAAATCGCCTGATCGTAAAGTACCAAGTACAGATCCATCCATTACAGGCTTCCGTTAAGTCGACATGGAGATATTGGACTCTTTATTCAGAATATTGCCGTGTAAGGAGTGCTTTGAATGCAATTTAATTTGGCAAGAGCAAACCCTCAAACGGAAAGGATGTGCTAGCCACAGGGGCGGATCCAGGAGGGTTGGATTGGGTGGCTAGCCAACCCCCCTTCGGAGAAGCCCACCATAAAAATCTAATATGTGAAAAAAAGGAGATACATATACGGGTCCCAAAAAATATAGAAATACGTGGGTACCAAAAGCCTTGGGAAGCCAGCAAGGCCGAAAACGGAAATGATAGTAGGCCGGAGGCAACGCGAAAAATTGAGCCTCGTTTTTGGGTTCTTTCCCGCCATGTTACTTTTTGGGATCCATCTTGCTTTACTGTTTTCCGCCATTTTTGATCACTGCTTTGCACAGTTCTAGTTTACCGGAATGCAGCGTTCAATTAAAACGTTTTACCCGAAGAAGCGGTAAGTCTTTATGATTTTTTGCTCGTGTTTCTTTGTGCAAGTGAAAGTTAAAATTATTTTCCTTGTCGGAATGAAATGGCACATTTTTTAATTTTGTTTATAGTGACAAGCCTTCCAATTTAACTGGCGATAGTGAAACCCTTACCAGAGAGCCTCCTGCTAAGACATCACTGGTTTCCAATTGTGGTAAGTAGCATGTAAGAAGAGTAAATTGACGATATTTACAAGTCCGGAATGTTCTTAATTTATCGTTGTGTAAGGAATTTTTGAAGTTATTGTTTCTCTGACCACCACGGGCTTATGTTTATTGCAAACCAAACTCAAGAACGAACATTTGAAATCTTCACCCTGGTCTGTCATACTGCAGGTTAGACAAGTAGTATAAAAATCGGAACGTACCTACTATTTCACATCGACGTCATTTATAAAACCCTAAAACGCTGCAAACGAAAGTTTTTCTGTCGGGTTGTCATTTCAGCAAAGAAAGTGTAGAAGATAGTTTAGGTCATTAGGCCGGCGATAAGCTAATGCCAATCTTAGTTTTATCTGATTCTCTCTACCAGGTGTCTTTTTGCATGAACTTCACCTGAAATCTTAGTACAAATATGCCAGTATCTTACTGTCCCGGAGTCTGTGAGGGGAATAGGACTTGTTTGCAAACGATTTCATCCTGTAATACAGTGTTCTGGTGAAATCTGGAAGACATTGCAAACCGATGTCGAATTTAGCATGGAGAGTTTTCAGTCAACTATAGTGAAGCATGCCAAGCATTTTCAACATCTCGGACTGAGATGTTCGCAAAAACGTGTACATTACAATAATCTGGATTTGTACATTGAGAACACTCTTGGATTGTACATCATAATACTCGTCTCGATATAACAATGTAAATGCCTTTATTTTTGCTTCAATGACAGCGTTTTAAAGCTTACAACTATAAATAAACGGCTTAAATTCAAAACGGGCCCACCCTGCCATATCTGCCGGCAGCCCTTAGAAACCTCGCCTTTTTGCTTCGCTCAACATGGCAGCAACGGGTGGAATTGAAGCAGATATCCAAGTAATAGACCAGAATCCTGAGTCATCTCAAGGTAAATCCATGAATTCTGAAAAAGATAATACAGCAG